AAAGCAAATTGTATGCATTACATTAGTTCCCAGAACCAAAGACAATATATTCTACTTTCAGATTATTGAAACATATGTTAAATTTATTTTTGTAACCACTACTAGGGAAAAAATCTGTCTCTGTTGGGAAGTATACAGGATATGTTTGATGTCGGCTTCATTTGACAGTGCATTGGCAGATCTACTCTCCCATTCTATTAGGACTTGACAAGAGTCCAGGGTTAATTGAGATGTATACATTTCGTCTGTGGGCCTTAAGGTCACCCTGTCTAGATCCAGAGACTCACAGATCATATGTGACAATTGACAGTTTAGTCTACTTACAGTCTGCCAATTTTTTTTTTTAAGCTTTTCAAGTTATAAAGTCATTGCCTGAGTTTGTTTTTATACCACTGATCTTCCCATTGTTAACTTGGCATTGTTAATTCTAGATGCTAATGACTAAAAGCAAGCAGCTTTAATTTTCCAGATGCTGACCGTGTCATTAAAACCCATGAAAACAGAGGGATTGTCTGTACAATGTGACTATTTAGTTTTGTAAAATAGCAAGATTAAGTCCAGTGAAAGAGTTTTATTCATTTTGTTTCCTGTAATCATGACTATACAACAGGACAGGGGAGGCTCCAGTAATTTTTTTGTGTGCTGGTGCTAGGGGTATAAATTGGGGACCTAAACCCTCTGATCCTGAAGCTCACGTTAGGTTAAACACAGACTCTGCCATATAAAAAAACGCTTAGTCAGAAAATTAATTGTACATATATTAAGAATGACGCAGAGTTTTCATCACCTGACGTCATCTTATAATTTGAATCCAGTTATCTTCATTATCAGGGTTGCCAACCTCCCCCATACTTTTTTTTACGGACAAAACATAAAAAAATGTACTGCTAAAGCATATTTTGCACTTGCAACCTAAAATATATCAGAAGCTCATATTAAAAAAAGTTTTAATTACTTTTTAATTAAATAAAATTTTAATAGTATATACAATATGTAAAATGTTAACAATACCAAAAACAAGCAATCTACCTTGCTTTACAGTAAAAAAAAAAAACAGTAAATGTGAGAAACCATGAGAATGACTCATTGGTAATTGGGTGTTTTGAACATGAAGCTACATACCTCCCAACATCAGAACTTAGGAAAGATTAAAGGAAAAGGCCAAAGATACATTGCGCTAAATATTCGACATGGCTTGAGGTAGAGTCTGAGCCTAATTATAGCATAAACTGTACACAGGTCATAGTCTGTTTTACTTCTTTATTATTGTGGTATGAGTGAGAGTCTTACAGACACACATAAATGAGGATTACCTTAAAAAAATCAAATAGAATATTGAAAGGTAGATAACGTTTTAATTTGTCTGAACCTACATTGAAGGACCTTGACCACCATTGTAACAAGGGTATTTACTCTGCTTAGCATTGTAACAGGGGATTTTACATTGACCACCAATGTAACAGGGGTATTTACACCTATCACCAATATAACGGGAACATGTACACAGAACACTAGTGTAATGAAGGGTTTCTACACTGTCCACCAAAGTAACAAGGTCATTTCCACTGACCACCAATGTAACAGAAACACTTACACTGACAAGCAATGTAACATGGGTATTTACAGTGGCTACAATTTAATAGAGGAATTTACATGACTGCCAATGTAGCAGGGGCATTTACACTGACTATCAATGTAACAGGAACATTTACACTGACCACCGATGTTATGGAAAGTTTTACACTGACCACCAGTGCCCCCATTATGATGGTGATCACTGTAAAACTTCCCATTACCACTGTTGTCATTGTAAATGTCCCTGCTATAATATTGGGGTTACTAAGCTGAAGGAAAAATCAATTCAGTATTTTTGCAGGAAAGTTATGGTTGTGTTAGTGTTTTCGGAGCCAGCTATAAAAGCTGAGCTCTTCACAGCACTATTTGATCCAGCATTTCTCATTCACTGCTCCCCTCTGCAACCCCCTTCCACTGCTCACTTCTGCACCCCCTTCAAACACTTCTGTCATCAGCACCCTGTGCACCACCATTTATCCACTGGCTACCTGTGCACCCCTCTTCTGCCGTATTATAGGTAATTTAGAGACCCACTCCTCTTGTTTTCAGAGAGAATTTACAGCTGTTAATTATTTAAAAAAAAATCAATATTTTATTTCTGATGCCAAATCCTGTAGCTTTAAAATATCTCATGTTGCTATACTGAAAGGGTAATGCACATGGGTGTAGACAGTGCATTTAAGGACAAATAATCAAAAGCAACAGAAAAAAATACAAATAGGTCAGTGGTGGTTTTGATAGGTAACAAAATTACATAGGTATAGCCTCATTACTTTATCTGCCCTGCAAATCCCCAATACCATGTAGCATGATGTGCAAAACTGGCAGTAGGAATGAGTACTTGCAATCAATGCTTCAGAGTCATCTGACAGGTAGTAGGGGTGGGCACTGTACTTAATGGTTAAGGGAAGGAAGCTTGTACATACTGAATATTGATCATCCTTTTACTGATACTAGGCACAGGCCTGTGAAATCTATGTAAAGTTTGAAAAATGAGAAGTTGCTAAAGAGTGCCTGCAGGCATGTACCCCATCTGCATGTAGTGAAAATCCACATATATAGGCATTCCTAGTTATTCCAAGGTATTCCAGCCTCACTTTACGTTGCTAAGCATTTTCATGAGTTTCAGTTGTCATTTCACTATAGTACTCCTTCTGCTACAGGTCCAAGGTGCATTTAGTCCTAGCCCTAATAAAGGAGATGCAGTTCTTCAAAACAGGTAGGCCCTCCTTGAACCTTAAATAATTGTTCCAACTTCATAAAGATTACCAAGTATTCACAAAGGTCAGTATAAGTGAGTCAGGGTGGCCTAATAGGAGACTCTGTCACTTTGCCCTCTCTTTTAATCTTTGTTTTATATGAGAGTAGCCAGCATTGCATATTGTCAGGTGTCAGTTTAAAGAAAACAAATTAAGTCTCCTAGGTGCTCAAAATCCCAGTTTTTTAATAGAATGTCCACTCACACATCCTAAATTTCACTGTTGTATTACCTTTAGATGTGCTTTAAAAATTGTAACCATGCTTTTTGAATAAAACATATGTAGAAGTTCCCCACACATTTCTGACATTTTTAGATAGTTTGTTTTATTAACATATAATTCATTTTAAATGTACATTGCAGGGGGAAACGCTTTTTATAATTTGCCCAGCATTTAATTTGGATGCTGGAATTTGGAGTTGGAATTTACTATTATGTTTAGAGAATTGTGTTCCTTTGTGGTTTTACTGTGATCTACAGCATAAGCACACATCCTCCTTGCAAGATTGATTTACTGTGATAATGTGTTGGTGCCCTGCTAGGTCAGTGATCTCAAAGACTGCTGTATATTTTATATTATTTGCTGCCAGATTTCATCAATCCAACACACCCACATTGTAGCTTAAAGCCCCAGAGACTTGACTGTTAGATTAGATCTAACATATGAAAAGAAAGCGGTGTGGTTATATAAACTAGAACACCAGAATCCTAGGATGTTCAGATAACGGGAACACAATATTTATGATATTTGTGTTTGCATTTAAAAAAAATCAGTGTTGTTATCTAAAGTGTCTGTTACATTAGCTTCCTCAGGGAATTGTTTTGTAGGAGTTTTAGATGATCATTTCAGGAACACTGGCTATAGAGTATATAATAATTATGAATGATGCCACTAACTGTGTGTATAATATGGTTTGAATACATGTTCATATGTTCTGATCATTGTAATTTTCACAGGTCACAATAAGATTTCAGCTTTGCCCATATAAAGAAAAAAGAAGCTAGTGGAGATCAAGCCATGAAATCTAACCTAAAGCAATGGAAACAACTCATGCTGTTTGGAATTTGTGCTTGGGGTTTACTGTTCCTGGTAATATTCATCTACTTCACAGATAGCAACTCCGTGGAACCAGTGCCAAGTTCATTTTCTTACATAGAAGCTAAGAAACTCCTACCTATTCAAGGAAAGCAGAGGGCTATCATGGGAGCACTACAGGATGCCTCCTTATCCTATGCCATTGATGACAATAATCTAATTGATGAAGAAGTTTTAAAGACCTTTAAGTTAGGCCATGGTAACATTAAAACCATTGCTGACGTGGAAAATTATTTTGCAAGTGAGGATGAATTTATCATGTCCAAGAAAAAAGGCTTTGCTCATAAAGATTCCAGTCAGGCTCAATCATTCCATTCCTTGTCTGGTGGAAGGTATCATCAAAATGCACACTCCAGATATAGAAAAGTCAGGAGGAATTCACATCGCAAGAAACAACATGTGTTTGAAGAATACGATGATTGGAATGGATTCTCCTCAACCATGTCTAAATCATTTCTTCAGAAGCTGTGGAAAGGTAATGTGTCATCAAAGATGCTAACTCCTCGTCTACAGAAAGCAAGGAGGGAGTACCTCAGAGCTAACAAACTCGGCGTTAGCTTCTCCGGAAAGCACAACTCCAGAAAACTGAGTTCTCAAGAACTTCTGTGCATTCTGAAAAAGAGAGCTCATGTGAGAACTTTGGATGGTAAGGAGGCTCCATTCTCAAACTTAGGATGGGAAAAGTATTTTCCTCCGGTACCCTTGAGTAAACTGTATCCACAAGGCTTCTCTACTTGTGCAGTGGTATCCTCTGCTGGAGCAATACTGAACTCTTCACTAGGAGCTGAAATCGGTGAGTTCTACTTTACTATAAATATAACCAATTGGTAAACTGCTAATGTTATTTAGCAAACATTGCAACTGTGCTAAAATGTATTTGTGTAATGCAAACAGTGGGTTTTAGCCCGCCTTCCTCCAACATGTCTTACTATTGCCCACCACCTTCATAAACCAATAGAAAATCACAAAAAACAGGAGGGGGTGGACTAGAGCTAGTGACCAATGTCCTTTCACTGTCCAGCGGTGCGCAAAATATAAAAAGTAATACAGATTGTCAGGATGTGAACTGGACTTTCAAATGTTGGATAGTATACTCCTCAATCTCAATCTCTTAAATCTCCCTGAGGCAATATTATAAAATCAGAGAAGTATCAGCCTTCACAAACTCCTACTGTAATTTACAAAAAAACACTGGTTTTCATCTGAGGTTGGAAAAATCGTACCATCCAATCACTCAGCATCTTTTTATATGGGCTGTTTACCCCTTTTTAATGTTTTCTTTGTGACATTTCAGGCATTAGAAGGAATGTAATATGCATTGCCATTCATACTTGGCAAATGTTCCTGATGTCCCAACTTCATTTTTCTGAAGTGTTGCTTAAATGTTTTCTCCTTGGAAATGCTCTTGCCTTTCATAGAATACACACCATACCATACATTTTTTATTAGTGGTATTAAGGGCCCATTCACACCAGATCCTTTAGCATCTATATTTCAATGGATGCCAACTCAAGGACATTTGAAAATAAATTGTGCTGCCCACCACTAAAAAAAAGTAGAGCAGGCTCTACTACTTTAAGCACAACGCAATGCAACAGACTAATGTGAACCAATAACACATGTCAATTTAAGGCAGAACCAGTACCTTATATAGCTCAGTGTAAAATTAAAATCAACCCCCCCCCCCCAAAAGTAATACAACTGATGTTAATGGACTATGCAAACTGAAGTCAACGCATGTTTTTTGGCTTCGGTTTTAGTGAGTGCACCCTAAAACCAAATCTTGTATTTCATATTTATTGCAATGATTTTACAAGGAAAGACAAACACATATAATCAGACAAATGTATTTTGAAAACTCTAAAAATGCATTTTGGGTTTGCTGACACTTTAAGCAGAGATATTGCACCAATAGTGTCTCCGAGTGAAATACAGTAAGAAATTGTATGGTGGTTTAACCATGTAGCGTTTTAACACTTTTGGGATGACTAACCCTTTAATGTATAGATGTACATCATTATTTTACTTTGCCTATTGTATTTAGCACATTTTAAATACAATAAAAAACACTTTGAGGTTGATTTACTAAAAGCAAATAGGCTGTTAACTTGGAAGGGTATTTTGACTTAGCATAGTGAATTTGGTGAAAATGTATTTTACAAAGAATATTCAACCATCTGCAGAATAAAAAAACTGTATTTTTTTCTACCACATGACTAGATGATGTAAGTCAGCAGAGTTTCAACTCATTCACCAAGGCTTAGTGAATGTGATGAAACTCTGCTGACTTACAGTCACTAAGCTAAGAGAAAATTCCCTTGTAAAGTGAACAGCCTATGTGTTTTTATTAAATCAACCCCTTTTAAAAGTGTAGCACCCTTCTAATATATATACACGGATACATTTGTTGGTTCCCTTCCACGACTAAAGAACAACCAACAATTTCCTCTGAAATAACTTGAAACTGACAAAAGTAATTTGCATCTATCATTTTTTATTCCATATTTATTAAAAATCAGACTTTGCTTTTGATCATCGAACATAGTATTTTAAATAATAAAACAGATTTTAAAAATGCAGTCACTGCAAACTAACATTTCCTGTGGCTCTCAGTTAGACCTATTGGACCTGCCAACAGGTAGTTTGACCCATTCTTGTTTGAGCAAAGTGCTCCAGCTGTCTCAAGTTTGAAGGGCGCCTTCTTCAGACTGGATGTTTCAGCTATTTCTATAAATGTTCAATAGGATTCATATCAGGAATCGTAGAAAGACACCACAGAATAATCCAATGTTTTGTTAGCCGTTCTGGGGTGCTTTTAGGTGTGTGTTTGGGTCATTATCCTGTTAGAGGACCCATGACCTGCAACTGAGACATCTTTCTGACACTGGACACTGTTTCCATCCAGAATTCCTTGATAGTCTTGTGATTGCATTGTGCCATGCACACATTCAGATGTGCCAGACGCAGCAAAGCAGCCCTAAACATAACTGACCTTCCTCAATGTTTCCCAATATGCACAATGTTTATTGAAAGCTTCATTTTTTTTCATCTGTGAACATAGAGCTGATATGACTTGCTAGAAAACTCCAGTGTTGTCTAATCTGTCCAAAGGACATTCTCTCAGGGACATTGTGACTTGTCAATATACGCTTATTAAAAAGCGACGAATGGTGCGATCATACACTGATGTACCTCAACCTTGTTATTTAGCTTGTATCTCTTTGGAAGTTTTCATTGTCTATATCATTCTGTTCAGTCTGGGACTGGTTTTCCTCTTGTGGCCATGTCCAGGGAGATTGGCTACACTCCTATGAACCATATATGCCATATAATATTTGCAGCTGCAGTCACAAGAACATCAAGTGTTTGGAGATTGTCTTATAGTCTTTACCTTTGACATGCTGGTCTATAATTTTCTTTCTGATCTTCTTAAACAACTCTCTCCTTTGCTTTCTCTGGTAAATTTTTAGCGACTACTTTAAAAAAAAAATTAAATAGACTGACTGGTTATAAGACATGTGTGATTTTAACTACAGAAAACAGTTACAGGGTTATTCATAAAAGGGTGAAGAGTTTGGAGAAGGCAAGAGAAGTTTACAATCTGGGACAACATAGCTAAACTGGAATTTTTCCAAATCAGCTATGTTGTCCTGGATTGTTCACTTCTCCTACCTTCTTCAAACTCTTCACCCTTTTGTGAATAACCCTGTTAGTTTGGAATATCATTATGATGTGCTTATTTATAATCTGCTCTAGGGGTACAAACAATTCTGTCCAGGCTATTTTAGAATATTTTTACACAATAACCATAAGTTTATCTCTTTTCTCACTTTCTTGGATTTACTCTATTACACACTAATGGCATGCATGCATGCATAAGGAGACAACTAGTTTTAATATTATAACTTTTCAGGAGGAATAACGCATTGTTTAATGAGCTGCAAGGGTACCACAAAATGTGCCCATGTCTGTATGTAGGAACGTTTTAACATGCCAAAGGATATAATACTGTGCAGCCAGTTTACCAGTCCAGATACTTCTGCCAACAGCACTATAAGGTCCTACAAATACGCTGTAGCACTATAAGGGCCTACAACTACACTGTAACATCAGCATAGTATGGTGAAGAGCATGTAACCTGACTGCTGATGCAGTTGTTATAAACTGCACCAAAACTGCAGCAGGCAGATTCTTTAAAATGCATAGTTGTGAAATGTGCCTAGAAAACAAAAACATTTTGTTGAACTCTGTCTGCACTAATGTTTTTAGAATCTTGCATAGAACAGATTTTGCTTCAATTAACAATTAATCTTTTTGTTGATTACATTAATATTAATATGACATTGCTGGCACCAATAGTGTGTAATATTGTATTTGTTGTCTGGCATCTTTCACAGGTCTGGAAATTATGTGCCGATCAATTAAGATCCTGTGTAAATATGTGCAATAACCAAGACTCTTCTGCGGCCAAGACTCTTTAATTGCCTATCCAGTTTATACTGCTCAATATAATGGCACTCTGAAGGGCAGAATAAACTGTAAATATGAAATAAGATAGTATTTAATGTTTTGCTCCACAGAGGATATGAAAACCTTGTAAAAGTAAATATCAATTCCTTGACCTATTTAGTGCTTTTGAAAAGCTAACGAGATGGAGGAGTTTTATGTGAAATTGCTTACACAGCTGCAGCAAGTCCTTCTCATGAAATTAGTTTCTGCAAAAATAGCTCCGGGGTCCGCTCTCTAGGGGAATCCTTCTCAATGTACATTATGTGTCAGATACAATCCTGGGTTGTGTGTTCTATGGGCTTTTTCCCTTTTTCTTTGTTTTGATGGGAATCGGGATTGTTTGTCACTGGGTGACAGGGGAAGGAAGAAAATGATTTACATGTTTGTTCTAAACATGAAGAAATAAAAAATACCACATAACTTGACATTTTTAATGCCCAGAAGCATAGAAGTAGAGAAGCAGATGCACTGCCTTGCACCTCTTTTTGGATTTTTTTTTACATTTTAGAGTGTCACAATCTGGAATCAAAATAGATTTAGTAGAGATTTTACAAAAGAGTTTGCAAAATGGAAAGATCGTTGAAATAGTTTTCTAAAAATAGAGATGTTTTATTCCATAAGTATTCACCTCTTTTCTATTAAACCATTAAATAAGCTCTGGTGCAAACATTTGCCTTCCTAAGTGACATCATTAGTTACTTATTAGTAGTTGGAAAAAAAAATAGAAAGATTGTGACACACTCTGTCTAGAGAAGACCATACACCAAGGAATTACAGAAGCAACCAAAATATCAGTGGTAACTTTGAAGGAGCTGCTTACATCCAGCTTATACAGCTGACATGGAACATTCATGAGCAACTATATCCTCGATGTCCCACAAAAATAATGTGACACTAAACTCTACAGTTAAACCTTAGAAATGCATTCATATACCTTACCTAATAACAAAAATGTATCTTATTTGTGTATCATTCAACTGTAGATCCTCAAATCATCTCTGAATTGGTGCTGACACTGTCCTTCCTTCTGGAGAGTGGCTACTTTTGTTCTTCATGGAGCCTATGTGTGTTGTAACGTAGTCACCACTCCAAGCTCACTCCTGTGATAGACTATGGGGTCTATTCACTAAGCTGCCAAAGGATCTAGCCCGTACAGCTCCCAAACTCGGCCGAGCGGCTCAGTCGAGCCGAAGGCATATGCTTCGGCTCAACTGAGCCGAGGTAAAAGCCGAAGCTGGGCGGAGCCGGCCATCATCTCACGGCCGGCTCCAGCCACTTGCACAG